GATTAAGAGTCATAGCATTTTGGAATTGGAATCAGAAAACTTTATGGGGAGAAAAAAAGAAATCTCCCTTCCAGGGAAGAGGAACAGTAATCATCCATCTTCTTTTGGAACATTCCAGAAAGGTACCAGCTTTGGCCCGATTCTCACCCCTGCCTGCATCCCTGCCCTCTGTAATGTGACTTGCAGCTCCTCCCACATAGGCAGAACCTGCTTTCCAGACCCTGGATGTCCAGCATGGCCTGGAGACCAGCTTTGGCCAGCAAGACATAGGCAGAGCAAAGCTGGGGCTTGCAGACATGTGTGCGTACGTGAGCATCCCTTCTGGTGCCTCTGCCATCACCAGGACAAGGAGCTGCCTCAGAGAGCCCATTGAGCCCAGGAGGGTGGGAGACTCAGTGCGATCTGTGGTGTGAGGCAGAGCCATGCCAGCCACAGGCCCAGGAGAACCAGTGATGCTGAGCCAGCCCCTGAGCTTGAAACTGGTTTGACATTCATCATTATTGTGCCAATAATGGGCCGATACAGAAACTGGCTAAGCCATGCGTGCTGCTGCAGCCCCTGAGGTCCTGTGTGTGTTTGTTACCAGGCATTAGCTGATCCATGCGTATGAGAAGTGCTCTGCATCACAGCGGCCCTGTCCCTTTGCCACATCATGCATTGCTGGACAGTGACCAGCATTTGCCTCTTCCCCGCCAGACTCGGATGAACCCGACCTTGGAAGCAATTCTGAAAATGGGTCAGCAAGTCTAGATTCAGCTGCCGACGGTGGTTTCATGACAGCTCTTGGGTCCCCCAAGTCTCCCTACCTCTTTGGAATGCTGGGGAGACCCCAGCTATGGAGAAAACATGGTCCTGACCCTCAAGGGAGTACAGGTGGGTCAGGGAGGTAGGGGTGTACAAGGCAACCAAGGATTTCATGGAAGGTGAGAGAGACGGTCAAGCCAAGGCAGGTGGTATTACAGGAAGGCAGGGCCCCACAGACATCCCTGCTGCTGCCTGCCTCATCCCAACTCCCTGCTCCCTCCCCTGCACCTCCCCCAGGCTCAGGACCTCCTCCAACCCCCCACCACTCTTTCCCTCCAAGACTGGCAGCTCCAGAGGCCCCGCCCTCCACACCTGTCCCCCTCTTGGCTCATCACCAAAAGTGACCTGTTCTGAAAAAACATTTGCACTCCCATATTCCTGGCATCTTTATTCACAGCAACCAAAAGGAAGAAGCAACCCAAGTGTTCATCACTGCACGAACGGATACGCAAAACGTGGTGTCTCCGGACAGTGGAACATTATTTAGCCTAGAAAAGCAAAGCAGCACTGACACAGGCTGCCACACGATGAGCCTTGAGGATATTATGCAGCGCGAAAGAAGCCAGATACGAAAGGACAAATGCAGGCCCGGGTGCGGTGGCTTATGCCTGTAATCCCAGCACTTTGGGAGGCGAGGAGGGTGGATCACGAGGTCAAGAGATTGAGACCATCCTGGCCAACATGGTGAAACCCCCTCTCTACTAAAAATACAAAAATTAGCTGGGTGTGGTGGCGCATGCCTGTAATCCCAGCTACTCTGGAGGCTGAGGCAGGACAATTGCTTGAACCCAGGAGGCAGAGGTTGCAGTGAGCCAAGATTGAGCCACTAGACTCCAGCCTGGATGATAGAGAAAGATTCTGTCGCAAAAAAACAAAAACAAAAACATAAACTTCCACTCATGTGAAGTTCCTAATGCAATCAGACTCACAGAGACAGGAATGGAAATTGCCAGGGGCTGGGGAAGGGGAATGGGGATGGAGAATTTATGTTTCATGGGGACTGAGTTTCTGTTTGAGAAGGTGAAAACGTTCTGGAGAAGGATGGTGATGATGGCTGCACAACAATGTGAGTGTGCTGAATGCCACGCAACTGTGCCCAAAAGTGGATACAAGGGTACATTTTTGTATCTTAACACTCATTTTCTTTTTGAGATGGAGTGTTGCTCTGCTGCCAGGCTGGAGTTCGGTGGTGCGATCTCAGCTCTCTGCAGCCTCTGCCTCCTGGTTGCAGTGATTCTCCTGTCTCAGCCTCCCAAGTAGCTGGGACTACAGGTGTGTGCCACCACATCTGGCTAATTTTTGTTTTTAGTAGAGACAGGGTTTCACCATGTTGGTCAGGATGGTCTCGATCTCCTGACCTTGTGATCCTCCTGCCTCGGCCTCCCAAAGTGCTGGGATTACAGGTGTGAGCCACTGTGCTCAGCCCACACTTTTTTTTTTTTTTTTTTTGAGATGGAGTCATGCTCTGTCACCCAGGCTGGAGAGCACAGTGGCATGATCTCAGCTCACTGCAACCTCTGCCTCCCAGGTTCCAGCGATTCTCCTGCCTCCACCCCCCAAGCAGCTGGGACTATGAGCACAAGCAAATTTTTGTATTTTTAGTAGAGATGGCATTTCACCATGTTGGCTAGGCTGGTCTTGATCCCTTGACCTTGTGATCCACCTGCCTCAGCCTCCCAAAGTGCTAAGATTACAGCCATGAGCCACTATGCCTGGCCCACACATTTTTTTTTAAAGCAACCTGTCCTATATTCCAACTCCTTAAGGCCCAACTCCCAGCTGGCTGTTGGCTACCAGAGCAATCTGGAAGTCTCGGATATGTGTGGGGAAAGGCCTCCCTGCCTGCTGCTCCTGCCTCCCCTGGTTTTAGCAGGATCCGCCAGCATCCTCACTGCTTTAACCAAAATGAAGTAATTGCTAACAGTGGCCACCCAGGTGTGGGGGCAGGCCAGTCAGGCAATACTGGGGTCACCGCTCCACGAAGAGGCAGCAGCCCACTCTGCTTGTAGCAGATCTGTTGTAGCATGCCAGTCTCACATTCTCAAGGGAAGGGAGGACTCTGGCTGACACCCAGCTGGAAGGTTGAAATGTGAGCAGACAGGATTTGTTTGGATGAAGAAGGAGGAAACAATGGGGGGAAAGCCAAACAAGCAAAGACAGTGGAGAAAGATCAGAGGTGGTGGAGCCACAGCTCAGCAGGCAAGCTGGCAGGAAGGTGGTATCTGGCTCCACCGTCCCCTTCTTGTCCAAGCTCGCATGGGAGGACAGGGAGGCCTCTGCTTTGGAGCTATGCTGGCTTTCAAGTCAGCAGACCTGGGTTCATGTTCCAGCTCTGCTATTCTCTGGCTGTGTGACCTTGAGCAGGTTACACGACCTCTCTGAGCCTCAATGTCCTCATCTGTGAAATGAGAAAAATAACAGGACCCCTTCCTGGTAGGGTTTCATGGAGGATCATAGAACGGGGTGCACATGAAAGGCTCAGCCGGTGTCCGGCACACAGCAAATGCTTCATTCACGTTGGTCGCTTTGCCAGGCAGCTTCTGACAGGCCCAAGTGGTCCCGTTCCTGCTGCTCATGCCTCAAGTGTGGGCTGGACCTAGTGACTTGCCTCTAGGAGGAGACTGCAGCGAAGCCGACGGGATGTCATTTCCATGGCTGAGCTTCGGATGGCTGTGACTCACCCTGCTGCCACTCTCCGCCTTGCTGGTCCTGTCTCTTTTGTCCCTCCTGCTTGCATGCTCTGACAACACAAGCTGCCAAGTGCTGCATGTGGATGTTGTATGATGTTCTATGGAGCAGCCTCCATGGCATGGAACCCGGGGAGGCCTCAGTCCAGCAGCCTGTGAGGAACTGCAACCCGCCGGCAGCCACATGAATGAGCTTGAAAGCGGGTCTTTCCCAGTGGGGCCTTGAGATGACCATGGCCTTGCAGGGACCCTGAGCAGAGGGACCAGCTCTCCCAGCCAGATTCCTGACCTGCTGGATCTGTGTGATGATAACCAAAGTTGTTTCACCCCACTACATTTGGGAGTAATTTGTTACTGAGCATGAAATACTGAGTACAATGACATGGTGCTTCTAACCATGACTGGACGGACTCCTTAATCCTTTCCCTGGGAACTGCAGCCTCTAGTTATCCCCCAAGCCTGCCCTGCAGCCTCCTCAGCCTCCTCAGCCTCACTCTCTCCAATGCTCTCACGTTCTGCATCCACGCCACGCACCCTCAGACTCTCACATCCTGACACAGCGCAACACTCACATTATGTCCACATGGTGGGCTCGTTTATTCTCTATTCTTTAACCAGAAGTAGCCCCAAGAGCATGCCACTGAGCCTCTCCAGCCAGCTGCAAACTTCTCCTGAGAACATCCAGCCCCCCGCCCGCCACTCCGGCTACGCTTCGGTATTCACTCTCAGAGCCACAGCTCAGCATCTCCCCGACGGCGAAAATGGAAGGATCAAGCCATCTGCTTGATGTGCCGTCTTGTGCATCCAGGAATCACATGTCACACACACACAGGCTCAATTCTGGCCTCTAGTTTGGTCTCCAGGGAAGAGACCGGACTCACTGGCCTCAAGGCTCTAACGACTAGGCTATGGTGGGCTGCTGGGCCAGGTGGAGAGGAAGGAAGGCAGGCCGGGAAGGAGCACTGGGCCTGAGTAAGTCCAGCTCCTCCCTGGCAAGCTGGTCCACTTTGGAATACTCCCTGCCCTTCAGTGGACCTCCCTTATAGCTCCTTAAGGAGTTGGCTGTAAGAGGCTTACATGTGGTAGCATACATGAAAGGCTTTTCTTTCCTGGCTCGGCTCCAGGAGGGATGACCTCCTGCAGGCCAGAGGCCCTGGCTGCGAACCTCCCTCCAGCTAGGAAGAAGCACATTGCTGTCATTCATCTCTTGTGAGTTGGGTTATTCTGAGTCTGTTTGCCAGAGTCTGAGCTCTAAAAGGGATCAGTGACTAGATTGGTAAGACTGCACTATGCCGACCCTCCTCCCAGCCACAGGGCACTGCCAAGTCCCATTCTTCATGATAGCCTTCTTGTGTTCTCCTCTCTTTAAAATAACAACCTTTACTTGACCCTGCTACCTAGGAACTTTCCTCTAAGATTCTGCCAGGCTATACAGAGGGCAGACGTGAGTGCAGGCTATAAATCAGAAGCCCTTGTGACTCTTAGATCCATTAATCCATCAGGAGAAGATTTGCTACCTCTTAGTGTTGAGGGAGAGACCAGAAATCCTCTCACAGGATTGACTAATGGCTCAAGCACCACATTTGATACAACTCACAACTCAGCACTTAGTGTTGTGGCCCTCAGGGGCTTATGGACACCAGCATTCTTCTCTGTGCCTTCCTGCTTGCAGCTGCACCCACGCCCCAAATCCAGTGAAAGGAATCTGCTTCCTGCTTTGCCTGTCCTCAGATTGTGTCTAGGTAAGATAATAATATTGAGTTGTTAAAGAGAAAATGAACCACTGCCATAATCTACAGGATCCAAATATTCCAGATTGGGAGTTCTTTAAAAGCTAGGGCCTCCTTTGTCCTCCAGCATATAGCCCTGGGACTGGGAATAGAAACCCACCCAACACATACGTGTAGGATGGATAGGTGGATGAATATGGATGGTGTATGGGTGGGTGGGTGGATGCTTGGATGATAGATGGATGGATGGGTTTATAGATAGATAGGTAAGTGGAGGGATAGATGGGAGGATGGGTGGATGGATGACTGGTTCAATGGATGAATAGACAGATGGATGAGTGGATGGATGAATGGGTGGGCGGATGGGTGGATGGATGGCTGAACGCGCGGATGAGTGGGTGGATGGCTGAACGCACAGATGGGTGGGTGGATGGCTGAACGCGTGGGTGGGTGGATGAATGGCTGAACGAGTGGATGGGTGGATGAATGAATGGGTGGGTGGATGGGTGGGTGGATAGATGGATGGGTGGATGGGTGGGTGGATGGCTGAACGTGTGGATGGGTGGATGGATGGTTGAATGCGTGGATGGGTGGGTAGGTGGGTGGATGGATGGATGCATGGATGAATGTATAGAAAAATGAATAAATTAATTTCTGGACAAGGAACATAATATTTTTTTTGAGATGGAGTCTCACTCTGTCGCCCAGACTGGAGTACGGTGGCATGATCTTGGCTCACTGCAACCTCCGCCTCCCAGGTTCAAGTAATTCTACTGCCTCAGCCTCCCTAGTATCTAGGACTACAGGCACCTACCATCATGCCCAGCTAATTTTTGTATTTTTAGTAGAGGCAAGGTTTCATCATATTGGCAAGGCTGGTCTGGAACTCCTGACCTCAAATGATTCACCCACCTCGGCCTCCCAAAGTGCTGGGATCACAGGCGTGAGCTACCACGCCCGGCCAAGGGAAGGAAAAAATTCTACCCACTCCCTAAGTTTGTTCTAAGAATAAAAGTAGATGATACAAGTAAAAGGGCTTTGGCTGCCTATGTAGGATTATATCAATGAAAGGAAGTGTGGCTCAAAAGAAAATGTCTGCTTCTAGGAGAACTCATGGACTCAAGTAACTACTTAAGGAATTCTCTCGAGGGACAGCATTTTCTGGGTTCTATAGAGGCGGAATTCAGCACGGTGGAGGCTGTATAGTAGGAGCCATTTCACTTTGGACGAGAGGAGTATCTCTGGAGAGCTCCCTCCCTGGGAGTGATGCCTGGTCCCTCCTACACGTGGTTTTCCGGTCTATGCCTGTCTCTCCTATGAGTTTGTGAGCCTGTTAAGGGCAGGTGCTGTGTCTCAAACCTAATCCACATCTTCCTCAGCGAAAATGAGTCACTGCACTCAAAGTCTGCTGCAGTGATTTCAATAAAATAAACAAGGCCAGGTGCAGTGGCTCACACCTATAATCCCAGCACTTTGGGAGGCCAAGGCAGGTGGATCACCTGAGGTCAGGAGTTTGAGACAAGCCTGGCCAACATGGTGAAATCCTGTCTCTACTAAAAATACAAAAATTAGCTGAGCATGGTGGCACATGCCTGTAATCCCAGCTACTTGGGAGGCTGAGGCAAGAGAATTGCTTGAACCCGGGAGGTGGGGTTGCAGTGAGCCGCAATTGTCCCACTGCACATCAGCCTGGATGACAGAGACAGACTCTGTCTCAACACCCCCACAAAATCATAACATTAAAAAAGTTTATGATGAACACATAACTATAAAATGACAACCCTGCAGAAATGATAGAGTGAAACACTGTGTACTAACTGTGCCCTTGCACATCTTTGAATTAAGAGATTGATATTAGAAGTGGCACATTCCCTATTTCAGCCATATTGTTAAGATGGACAATGAGTTTGCATGACTGAGAGGAGGCAGCAGAGAAGAGTGGTTAGTTGCAAGGTGGGCTGTGACCCGCTTCGGTAGGTGAGATAATTTATACAGAGAGCCAGTGCAGGGGTGGGCAGGTGAAAATGCTCAGTCGATAGTGGATTATTAAGGCGATGGTGGTTTGGGGTGCACCCTCATCACTCTATGGTGCCTGAAGCATGCTGCTTCGGTCCTTGCACCCCTCTTTTCTCTTTTCCCTTTCCCTTTCTGCCTGTGCTTCCTCTCTGCTTTGGATGGGGGCTGGGAGGAAGTGGGGGTCCAGGGCAGAGCTGGCAGAAAGAGCAGGAATCCAGACTCAGATGGTCTCTGCCCGTTTTTCCTTCCCCCTATCAGCACCAGCCAGCCAGCCAGCCCACAACTACAGGTGATGCGAGGTCTGCTCTCTCTCAGGCACGCAAAAGGATGTAGTGCCATCCTGGACTAGGGAAGGGGCCGTGGACTGGCAGTCAGACAGGACCACGAAGGGAAGGGGCGCAGCTGTCACCAGCACATGTGGGCTTGTCCTCAAAGCACCTCCCACACCTCCCAGCGTGGCAGCAGGCCACCCGCTGCAGGGCTCACTGGGGACAGAACGAGGGAACACAGTGGCAATTTTTATGCATGACAGCTCTATGAAAAGGGCATAGCATTTACTTTAGCAAATTTGAGACTGGGGATTGGTGAACTGACTAAAGTCAGTGAATATCAAGGGTTAAGCAACAGGCCCCAGAGTTACCCACCCGGATGCGGAGTGGCCTGTGACACCCTTCTGAAAGGACAGGCTGGGGGTCAGGAGGGACTGGCTGCATTCAAATTCCTAATATCACAGTTTCACTCTTCGGGAATGAAGTAAGACAGTGCCTGGGAGCTGGAGCCCAGAGGACCTCAAATTATTACAGAAATCTCTGCTGTGTCGGCTGCTTTCCAAACCTGCTATTGTGGCCATTCCTCAGGGGACTAATCATTGGAGAAACCAGACATGTGGGACAGATGGACGTCTCGTGAGGCCTGCGGTGAGTCAGAGCCCACCTCCAGCTCTGGGGAACGCCTCCAGGCACCGCCACCTCGCCCGGCTCATGGTTTGTATTTCTAAGAGAGATAGGATTTCATCACGTTGGCCAGACTCGTCTTGAACTCTTGACCTCTGGTGATCCACCCGCCTCAGCCTCCCAAAGTGCTGGGATTACAGGCGTGAGCCACAGCACCCAGCGCATATCATTGTTTTTAATAACTGTACTGAAATTTCCCTCAGGAATAAAGTTTCACCAAGTTCAAACACTACAGCAGTTCCTCTGCTCTGCAGCCTTGCCCTTTCTTTCTGCCCATGTATTAACATCAACAGCCCAGAGACCCCAAGCAAAGGCTGCAAAGTCACCTCCATGAGTGTGGGTCTGGCTGAAACCAAGGGGTCCACCTAAGTCAAATGCCTTGGCATCGGGCTGACGCCTGCTTCTACAGAGTGCCAGGTAACACAGCTTCACAGGTCCTTATTCAAACTGCTCCTTGGTTTTCTTCATTTTCTATTGGTTATAACAACCTATACTGAAGTAGAATTACCAATATCATTTCTGAGATGAGCTTACCTGGTAATATTAGCACAAATTCCATGGCCTCCAAATTTTGCCGTTTCTACAGGGCCCTGGGCTCTCAGGCTGTGGTTTCAAGAGTTAGACATTTACCCTCATGCCAGCGGCTCCTAGTCTTCTTGGAATTTCTTCTGAGAGACTCAGAAAAAGAGCTTCTGCCTCTTTTGGCTGTGGAAACACAAGCATGGAGAAACGCCATTCCATTTTCCTGCACACCTGATTGTTTCCAAGTATTTTAACTGATTTTTTTTGTTTTTGAGATGAAGTCTCGCTGTGTCACCAGGCTAGAGTGCAGCTGTGCAACCTTGGCTCACTGCAACCTCCCCGTCCTGGGTTCAAGCAATTCTCCTGCCTCAGCTTCCCAAGTAGCTAGGACTACAAGGAAGCGCTACCACACCTGGCTAATTTTTATATTTTAGTAGAGACAGGGTTTCACCATGTTGGCCAGGATGGTCTCAATCTCTTGACCTCATGATCCACCCGCCTCGGCCTCCCAAAGTGCTGGGATTACATGCATGAGCCACCGCACCTGGATTAAATTTGAATATTAAACATGTCAGTTACTTACTATCCTGCTCAGCATCTATTAAAAAGAAACATTTGCTATACCCTCAATTATTAAATAAAAATGTCCACCTTCCCAATAAAGTGAAAGTAATGAGTACTTTCAAAGATATTTTTGACTGGGTGCAGTGGCTCACGCCTGTAATCCCAGCACTTGGGGAGGCCGAGGCAGGCAGATCACCTGAGGGCAGGAGTTCAAGACCGGCCTGGCCAACATGGTGAAACCCCATCTCTACAGAAACATGAGAACTAGCCAGGTATGATGGCGGGTACCTGTAACCCCAGCTATTTGGGAGGCTGAGGTGGGAGAATCCCTTGAACCTGGGAGGTGGAGGTTGCGGTGAGCTAAGATCACGTCATTGCACTCCAGCCTGAGAGACAGAGCGAGACTCTGTCTTAAATATATATATATGTATTTTTTTCTTTCTTTTGTATGCCACCATTGACTCGTTGAAACTCTTTTGTAATTATGTTCTTAATAAGTTCTGCTAAGAAAATGTATGTTCCAAAACTGTGAAAAAACAAAACAACAACAGAAAAGGCCGTGAAGAGGAAAGACTGAGGCTCCCAGGAGAGGAGGGAACCTGCCTCCAGCCTCGAAATGGCAACATCAGCTCCTGCAGCGTTTCCAGGCTGCTGCCTGCCCTGCACACTCCAGGTCTGCAGTCCCAGCAAGTGCAGGGACTCGTTCCTGACAATCCATTCCTGTATGTGTGTTATAGTCTGCTGCTTCTGCTCCTCTGGAAAACCCTGACTGATACAACTCTCCTGCCCCACGTGCCACCAGGACACCTGGGGAGCCACTGTGTGGCCTGGGCCAATTCCACACAGGTGCCTGGCTTTCTGCCTCTCCGAAGAAGGGACAGGATGGACAGCGAACCTGAGTGAAAATTCTGGGCTCTGACATTCAAAGTTAACCCCACAAGGCAGCACCCAAGGTGGGGAGATGTCCGGTCTGGGCTCTGGGTCGTCCACCCCGTCCCCCTCAAAGCTGGCCTGTGTGCCCGTCCACCTGCCGCAGGCCTCCCAGCACCAGCAGCCCCTTGGCTAACAGCCTTGGCCCATAGCTGTTCTCCCGTCGACTCCCAGGCTCCGCTCTCTTGTTAATCTGAATCGTTAACTGACTCGTTCAGGGCTAAAACAACAACAAAATCCATACCGCAGCCAAGATCCCAGGGTGGATTTTTGGCCTGAATTTTCTAGTCAAATTGTCCTGAAGGTTGTGTTTGTTCTGAAACCTCAGGGCATGACCCTGCTCCAAAGTACGGGCGGGAGGGCACAGGGCGGTGTGCAGGTGAGGGCAGTGCTGCTGAGTGGGGCGGGGTGCTTTGAATCCTTCCTGAGAGATGTCAGGCCCTGAGGCCGACCTCCAGCTGCTGGTCCCGCGCCTGGGTCAGGAGCCCCCACTGGCAGAGCTTTCCAGATGGGCCTGTGTGCTCACCACGCCCAGCTCTCCAGTGTGGCTCCAACCTTGACTGCCAGGAAAGTTAATGTTTTTAGTTAAATAACGTCTACTGGGTTTTTTTCCATTGTAAGTGCCACGCTCACTTCTTCATGCTGCAAAAATCAAGGTAGCGTCACACTAGGTGCTGGGGCACTAGGGTGAAACCAGGGTGACACCAAGGTGACTTAGCCCTGACCACAGGAATTTACAGTCAGGTGACTGCTCATGATCGAAGTCTGAATTTAGGAAGACTAGAAAGGGGCCAGGCGAGGTGGCTAACACCTGTAATCTCAGCACTTTGGAAGGCTGAGGCGGGTGAATCACCTGAGTTCAAGACCAGCCTGGCCAACATGGTGAAGAAACCCTGTCTCTATTTCCCCCACCCCTCAACCCCCCAAGATGGAGTCTTACTCTGTTGCCCAGGATGGAGTACAGTGGAGCGATCTCGGCTCACCGCAACCTCCATCTCCTGGGTTCAAGCAATTCTCCTGCCTCAACCTGCCAAGCAGCTGAGATTATAGGCACCCGCCACCACGCCTGGCTAATTTTTGTATTTTTACTAGAGACAGGGTTTCACCACATTGGCCAGGCTGGTCTCAAACTCCTGACCTCAGGTGATACACCTGCTTCTTCCTCCCAAAGTGCTGGGATTACAAGAGTGAGCCACCACGCCTGGCCACCCCATCTCTACTCGAAATGCAAAAATTAACTGGGCATGTGGTGGATGCCTGTAATCTCAGCTACTCAGGAGGCTGAAGCAGGAGAATTGCTTGAACCTGGGAGGTGGAGATTGCCGTGAGCCAAGATTGCACGACTGCACTCCAGCCTGGGCTGCACTCCAGCCGGGCATCCCAAAAATACCATAAAATAAAATAACTAGAAAGGAAAAAATCACCCATAATTCTCCACACAGAAACCATCACTATAAACATTTTGGTGAACTTGTTTCTGACCTATTCACTATGCTTAGGGTACCATTTTCTTTGTGGGTCTAATGGGGATGTGTTCATATGATATTTACAGTTTGGTGCTCTTTTTTTTTTTTTTTTTTTTGACAGGGTCTCACTTCGTTGCCCAGACTGGAGTGCAGTGGCACAATCACGGCTCACTGCAACCTTGACTTCCTGGACTCCGGTGATCCTCTTACCTCAGCCTCTTGAGTAGCTGTGACTACAGGTGCATGATACCATGCCCGGACAATTTTTTGTATTTTTGGTACAGACAGGGTTTTACCATATTGCCCAGGCTGGTCTCAAGCTCCTGGGCTCAGGTGATCCTCCCATGTCAGCCTCCCAAAGTGCTGGGATTACAGGCACAAGCCACAGCACCTGGCTGGGACTCTGTTATTTAACATAAGTGTTTCCATTTGATGGATTGATTGATTGATTGGAGACAGAGTCTCGCTGGAGTGCAGTGCCATTATCTCAGCTCACTGTACCCTCTGCTTCCCGGGTTCAAGTGATTCTCCTGCCTTAGCCCCCCAAGTAGCTATGACTACAGATGTGTGTCATCACGCCTGGCTTATTTTTGTGCTTTTAGTAGGGATGGGGTTTCATCACGTTGGCTGGGCTGGTCTCAAACTGCTGACCTCAAGTGATCTGTCGCCATTAGCCTCCCAAAGTGTTGGGATTACAGGCATAAACCACCATGCCTGGCCTTGTTTTATTTAAAATACTTCACAAAGAGCTCATCTTTTTAGTGGTGGCATGGTACTGCATTAAGAAGCTATTCTTCCGTTTAATTAGTCATGCCCTTCTCACTGAATGGTTGAGATTGTCCCTGTACCCCCTTTTTGCTGTTAAAAATAATATCATGAACATCATGATGTTTTTTTTGAGATGGAGTTTAGCTCTTGTTGCCTAGGCTGGAGTGTGATGGCACAATCTCAGCTCACTGCAACCTCCACCTCCAGAGTTTAAGCCATTCTCCTGCCTCAGCCTTCGAGTAGCTGGGATTACAGGCCTGAGCCACCATGCCTGGCTAAGTTTGTATTTTTAGTAGAGATGGGGTTTCTCCATGTTGGTCAGGCTGGTCTGGAACTCCCAACCTCAGGTAATCCACCTACCTCAGCCTCGCAAAGTGCCGGGATTACAGGTGTGAGCCACCATACCCCGCCCTCATGAACATCATGATTTTTAAGGCCTTTTCAACATTTCTGTTTCTTTGGGATGCATTTCCAGAAATGGTATTATGAAACCAAGAGTCTTTATTCTTCCTTACTTTTTTAAGTGGCTTAAAACTGCAGCCATCTTTTATCTCCTTATTATTCCTGTGGTCAGGAATGGGGCCCAGTGGAGGTGGGTCCTCTGGTCGCTCTGCAGGCCTCCATCAGGCTGTCAGCAGGGTTGCAGGCTCATCCAAAGCTTGGCTGGGGAAGACCTGGCTTCCCAGCTCCCTCCCGTGGCTGTTGGCAGGAGGCAGTTTCTCACAGGCTGTGGGCTGCAGGTGCCCCTTGGAGCTGCCTCGGTTCCTACCAGCTCCACAGGCTGCCCCTGCTGCCCTCAGCTCCCTGCTCTATGGGCCTTCATGGGGCTGCTCACCCATCTGTGCCAGTTGGCTCCCCTCAGAGTAGATAAGAGAACAGAGAGAAGCCATGGGGACAACAGAACGATGCCTGTTCCTTGCTATCAGGGCTGCCTCTGCTCCCAGCACGAGCGTGGGACAGCTCCAGGCTCACCACCTGCACT